ATTTAAACTGGAAGATGTTGTGTTTTCTCCATACCTGGAGCATTGGTAGATGACGTTACATGTTTTACAACAGAAAGTGACATTACTGTATGAAAACAAATTTTAAAATCCACTGTTGTTTCATATTATGAGGAAGTAAAAGTAATCATATAAAGACTTAATCTTGTTCGTGTCACGTACTGTATGATAGTTACTCCAGGTAAGGGATTAGTTTATAAAAACATGCCAAACTTGCTAACTAAATCTGTACTTATATCAAACATATTCTGTTTGTATTTTTATTTATTTTCTTTATTTTCCTTGTACTTAGATCTCAATGCCACTGGAAGGTTACTATTTTCAACCCTTTTGCAAATCCCTTTTGAGATTTGTTTCTTTTTTATAAACATTTTTCCTTGGCCTGTAACAATAAGTACTTACATAGGAACACTGTGTCATTTCTTTTTCTAGTGTAATTATTGGTGCTTTTTAAGTTAACTCTGTAAGGTCCTTGCTATGTCTATGTAAGCTGGTAACGGAATATGTACCAAGCACAGGCTTGCAGTCAGGTCTCCTAAACCACGATTACGCAATATTTCCTTGGTGTATTTTGTATTTGTTCCGATACAGCAATATTTGATCACAGTATTGATCAGCAATATTTTTGTGTCGTGATTTTGGTTTAATATTTCACCTTTTGATTGTGAGCACTGATCTTTTTAGGTTAATTCCGGAAGCAGCTATTTTGTAATTTATTATCAGAATTGAAGCAGTAAATTTGTATACTTGAAACATAACATATTTCATATTTCCCATTTAATTGACTAAGCATTAAAGGCAAACCCCAGTGGGATTTTGTAAACTGAAAAAGTTGATAAACTGTATTAAATCAATTAAAGTATTTACCTAAGAAACATCTTGATGATTGATAATAGCTCTGAGGAATACCTATAACTCTTATCCCAAAAAAAAATATTTTCTTTCCTATCTAAAGTTGTAGGATTTTCCGTCTTAGTAAAATTAAGATAGTGTTAATATTTCCCTCAACAAACCTCCTTAGCAGAACTTATGTATAACCAATTTTAGTATGTAAAAAAACTAATCAATTTATATGGAGTTTTAGGAGTCCTACAAACATTTGTTGGTGATTAACACGAATTAAATAATCATAATAAGTTGTTGCTATTAAAACATATATTGTGTTGATTTAAGAATATAAGAGCCTCCATACTAATCATAATTGGGAAACGTCACCAATCATTTATCCCCCAAAAATATCTTCTTGTTAATATTTTGGCTGCATGTAAACTGAAGTCACATTCCAGTTAGTTTGTACAAAACCCATTCCACGTCCCATTGCACATTTGTACAGATTTCACCTCAGGTTGATTTGCTACATGCCAATGCTTGAGTAATTCTGTTGATAGAGTTTATATTTTGTACAGTATTTATGTAAGAGGTTGTGAGTGTGTATAGTTTCTGTTCATGTCCAGAAGGAGGTATGCTATTACCCCTGAGTCATAATTTGTGATTAGTCTTAAGTTTTAACTTATTCTACGCCTTGTTGAGTTTTAATCCTGGTCTAATGTCATTCTTGTTTTACACTTTATAAGATATTGTCCATTTCTGCAGTTATAAAATTGTAAAATTTTTGAATGTCAATATAAATAAAACATCAAATTCTGATCAATTGGTGGTTTGATTTTCCTGTAATTTGTTGGAAATGTTATGAGTCATAGATATAAGAACAAAACTAAAGTCTTCAAATTAGATCTAGTTAATTCATTCATTTACTGAACTATGGCGTCTAAACACCATAATGCCTTGTTTAAAGTGAGGATGAATAAAAATTTATTAGGCTCTGTTAGAATGAACAACAAATACGGTGTTGTTGACTATACCAGCTGATTATTAAGCTTGGATCATTTATTAAAAGCCTACTAGTGTCCCTGTTGCTCGAAATCGAGCAATTGCTAAGTATTACAGGCGTTATTTTAAAACGAATAACAGTCATATTTTTTATGACTATAAAAGATTCGACTCAAAGATTATGGAATACTCAAGATGTACATAACAGATCGATATAATCAACATTTCTTGTAAATATCTTATCATTTTTCAAAAGCTGATTTTGTTTTTTAGTGTTTATAACACACATTATTTCTATTTCTTCCCCTTGGTGGTGTTCTATGACTTTCCTATGTTTCCATAGTTTGCAGATCGTCTCTTTCAATGATTACTAAGAAATGCAGCACAGTGTTAATTCAGTTTTCTTTTTAGTCAATTTATCCAGGCTCTCTCGATTTTTCCCATTGTAATAATTACGCCAACCCAAATAGCCAAATTCAAATAGTAACTATTTCATTTCAACGTTTGTGGCAAACTAACTGTTAAATTAGCAAACTTATTGACTGTTTACAATTAACATATGTTCTTCTTCTCACTTTTAATTTCTGACAACAGCTGGAGTTTCATAACAATATTTGTTTCCCATGTTATCCTTATGGAGAAATATGAAACTTTAAAGGGTGCCAGGGCCTCACTCTCTAATCATTTCCCTAAAAAGAAAGTTTCCTGCACAACTTCACGTTACGTTCTTTCCAATGACACCAAAAACATGTCAATCGTTTCAGTAGTTTCGGAGGAGTAATTGTCACAAAAAACCTGCTTGCGTATTAAATAAGTATAGATGTTTTGAAGAATTTTCCTAACCTAGCTTTTGTTTGTAAATGAACGTTACTGTTCACACATGACTATGACCAAAATGTAAACAAATCTGTGGAGGGATCTTTAAAGGCTTCTGGGGCAGAGCCCTAAGGGAATTTACTTAGTTTTTCTTTTGATAACTCATCTACAGACCAATACCTTTATTTGGACACCTCTACCAAGTTTCTACGCCCAGCCGTTCTCTCGAATTAGTGGACACAAAGTTTCCAATTAAATATTTAGATTCCTCCATGTTAATCTTATGGTATGTTAATCCTAACTTTGATGGATAATCCTGCCCAAACTAATGAAGATTTCAAAAATTTAAAAACACTTTGCAAAACTACAGATCAGGACAATTTTTTTCACACTTTAATCATCAAAATCGGTCCAAAAATGAGGGAGGAGTTCTGTTTACAAAAATCGGCTTAGCGTATTATATATAAAAATAGACTACTGTAGTGATCGTCCTGTGGTCGAAACTCGACCAAAAATAATTAATGTACAGACTTCTCTATTTTCTCCCCACACTGTAAATAAAACATGTGATTGGAATTTCTTCCATTTGTTTTGATTTTCTGTTTACATTTTGTTGTTATTTCGTCACCATCATGGCAACCCATATGGCCCATGTTAATTTTTTGAAGTTTTCAAATTAATTTTTTGTGCTTATTTGTTAACCTATTTTAACTTTTAAAGGCATTCTGCACATCTACAGGAAAATATCTTTCCAACAGTATGCGTGGATTTTCCCTGCGATGCACACGAGTTGAGAAAAAAGGTTTTAAAGAAACATGCTTGCCTATTAATATATAGATAGATTGATCAAAAACAGTTGAGTCCAATCTTATGTGCGCATTTTGGGTCATTAATTTTTTGCTTTCCGTAGTCTTCAATAACATTTCTGTACATCAAAGTGTTACTTTGATTTGCATACCTGAGTTGAAAAGGCATTTTAAATTCCTTTAGAGTGAAAAGTCTCTGGATCCACTTTGCTTTTTTCTTGTTCCAAAAAATCCATTCAATACAAATTCATACTAAGTAATGCAAACTGATATTAAACACCGTAAAGGTAACAAACGGGGAAAATTCCTGAATAAGTCTTGTACCTACAACGCATTGGTAACAAGGTATGTGCTTTTTTCGAAATATAAACAGGACAATGGTAGGTTTAAATCCCCCTTAAAATTGTTAACTAGAAAATTTATGTTCTCTGTTAAAGATTTGTCTATAGGCTATAAATAATAAATCATATCTATTAGCCCTATACTGTTCTTTCAACTTTTAAACATCATGTTGCTCATACTGGCGGTTTAATAGCCACATTAATTAGGGGTATGTGTCTGACAATAAAATCTTACCTTGTCTGATAAGGCTGGGCTGAATAGAACAACCTTTTTTTGTTCATAATTTTACATCAATCATTAGAAAACTGTAAAGGAACTGGTATGTTGACTTTGAAAGAAAATGCGTTTTTTGTTTGAAAGTAACACTGAATTTATTGTAACAAATATAAATTAATTAATATTTAAATATATATATATATATATGAAACCTTACTATTTACATAACCTATTTTATAGGTTTGAAAAATATAAACTATACATTCAGTCTTTGGTTTTGTATGGTATTAAAGCTTGATTACATTACAACATTATATACACAGCATAGCTATCAAAAAACACATACCTGATATTTTTTTCATCATTATCACAAACATTACAATGTTTATATGTGAAAATAAATTAACTTTCATCTACTGCCTAGTGTTACAATGTAGGAACAAATACCGCTCTGTACATAGTATTTATCTGTGTACCTCCTAACACCTATTACTTGGTATAAGTTATATGGAAATCCTAAAATTAGAATACAATATTAAATTATACGCAAATACTTAACCTCTCCTAATTTATCAGTTCTAGTCTTTACATGTTATTTTATATTCTAGCATCCAAAAAATGTCATTTAAACTTGTTTTGTATTCCTTATCATGATAGGATATAATACAGAGAAATAAATAAACTTACTCATACAAATATAAATAACTAACTATCATTTCAAGCGCTTACCACTTAATTTTTAACATAGGAAAAATTATATTTATAACTTTTAGTATATATTCAACTGACAATATTAAATAAATAATTGTAACCTTTTATAAATCATCAAAAACATTTCATCTTAAAGACCTTATCTTAAAGAAGAATCTTAACTACTTATCTTAATTTGTACATGCTCAGTTTGAAACTCTGAAATTAAAGCCATATAGTTAATCTCAACACCTAATCTTTTAAACACTCAATAATCACTTTGCCAACAATGAAAGACCGAAGGTATCATACTACTGTAATTTCATTTTTGGAGGAATTTTGTTGAGTTTATCGCTTTTCGAACTTGAAGTTGAAAGTGTGGAAAGGAAGAGCCAGGTTTCCAATGGGCACTTTGTAGTTGTCACCTTTCACAGGTAAGATGTTGAAGGACTGCAATAGTGAGGCCAGAGTTGAGAAAGACACCAGTTGTACCATCTTGTATCCCATGCAGGATCGCCGGCCGCCTCCGAACGGAAGGAAGTGTTCCGGTTTGACCAGTCGACCATCGGAGGATATGAACCTCTCCGGTTGGAAAGCCTCAGGCTCGGACCACAAGTCTGGACTCATGCTGAGCTCGTAGTTGTTGAGGAAGATCAGAGTGTCTTTTTTTATTCTGAATCCTACAAAAAAAATATGTCGGTTAGATAAAGGTAGAGAAGTAAAATGACAAAAGTTAAATCATCATCACTTTAACAAGAGGTGAACTACAATATTTTAGTGTAATATGAGAACTTCAACAGTTACTTCTGAGAGAAAAATTAAATTAAAGATTATCTAAATTTTCAGTATAATAGATAAACGTTGTATGGATTTTCCAATACTTTGTAATAACTTGGAATTGATATCACAATGTCACATGCTGTACCAATATTGTAAGATGTATTTGTGATGGGAAAAAGTACATTTAATTTTGGTTTTAGCGAAAGAAATTGACATTTAACATAAGAGCAATAAACTTTATATATTGTTAGGGTTTGTTGAGACAAAAAGTTTCCAAATCACACCAAAAAGTCAGTGATTAAATAAATGAATGTTCTTTCTAACGTGAATAAAAGAGTACCGTATGGCTGTAAAAAAATTTAAATTTTAAAGTTTTAGTTAAATGCATACAGAATAATAAGTAGAAACTCACCAGCTACAGAACTGTCCTGTGTGGCGACGTGAGGCACGATGGGAGATGCAATGAGTCTTATGACCTCCATGATCACTGCCTCAGTGTAAGGCATGATGGGTCGGTCGGCCAATGTTACATCCCTAGCTCTCATCGTCACACTGTCCACCTCCTCCTGGATACGTCTCTGAACCTCCGGCCGGGTGGCGATGAACCCTAGGATCTTAGTGATGAAGTTCCCCACAGCAGAGTGACCTCCGATGATGTCTTCTAAAGCAAAGAGGGCCGTGTTCCAAGACATCTCTGGCTGCTGCTCACCCTTAATGTGGTCGATGAGGCTGTCAACATAGTCCACCTGTTCTTGTCCTTCACTCCAAGTTTCCGCTCGGTTTTCAATGACGGATGAAACTACAAACTCTCTGATCTGATGACTCCATTGGGCCATTTGTGCGAGGTGGCGGGAGTGAAGAGGCATCAGCCATGGGATGAAATCTGCTGCATAGCCTTGGTTCACCTCGTAAAAGACGTCGTCAAAGTTCCTCACCATCCTCATGAAGTCTTGGTTGTCAAAATCGAACCGCTTGCTGCAGAAGTATGAGGTGAAGATGTTAGCGCACGCTGGCATCAGGAGTGGCTTGATCTCGGTCGGGTCTGAGGAGAGGCGGGCTTTCAACTCGTTGAGTTCCCGGGAGATGATGGAGTCGAGGTGGTGGAAACGGGAGGTGAAGGCTCGTGGGAACACATGAGCACGAAGCATTTCCCGACGAGTCCTCTGCAGGTCAGACCAGTCACAGAATGCTAGAGCTAGAAACAAAAGTACTATTAGGATTGAAACATTTTAAGTTCTTACTATATTAACCAACAGCAAAACATTTGTACGGTTGGAAATACTTTTGAAAGAATTGTTTTGTTAGAACATAGTGGATAGAAGTACAAAAAATTTTTAATTTTATACGTAGTAAAATATGCTATACTAAAGTAAATTTAAAATAGAAAAGTTTTTTATTTAGAAATTTTTTTTTTAAGATTAAAATTAAAAGTTTGCTTAGTTAAAAGCTTTTTAGTCAAGTCTGTAGTTATAAAAGATGGAACTCTTTAAAAATCATTGGTTTAGTTTTTATAAAAACATTTTGAATAAGTTTTACGGAGAAATCACTATTGCCATCAATATTACTACCATCTACAACTTTAAATTGTAACTTAAATCAAAATGTCAACTATTCTAAATTGCTCCTTGTTAGATTTGTTATTTAATTACTATAAAACTAATAAATGTTGAAAGCTGTTAAAATAAAAATCAGAAACCTAATAAATTTAAGCTATTCAAAATAATATTTTAAGTTTAAATAGTTTTAAAACATTAATAGGATTAGTCATCCAATTTGTGGATGATAAGTTTTGAGTTGTTTGTTATTGTTAGAACTTGAACTCAACGAATTTATTCTTGATTACGTACAAGAAGTAAGTTCTTTGAACAGATTATTTTTACTTAGTTTCTATTTATTTCTTTTTTTAAAGAGGATTCAGGAATTACAAGTTTATTTTTATCATAAATTCCATCATTTTCAAAATCAATAATTGGACAAATCTAATATGGTAAAACGTATAAAATTGTAGAAGACAAAATATTTAGTGATCAAAGTGTAAAATATTTTAGACTGTAAAACAAATAGTTTTAAATAGTACTCACAGTTCTCCTTGTCGCCACAGAACAGCTGATGATATCTGCGGAAGTTTGGTCGTCCATCGAAGTGTGTTCCTTTTGCCATTAGCACTTCCCTGATATTGTCCAGTCCGTTGACCACCACAGCAGGCTGGGAGCCGAGATGGAGTCGGAACACTTTTCCGTATAGACGAGCAAGTGAGCCGAACGCTTGGTACGGCACCTCGTAGCCCCCCATTAGGTGTAGGGAGCCTACAATCGGCCAAGCTCTAGGACCAGGTAGATCCTTGAGCCCATCCGATTTGACATCCGTGACAGAGCGACTTCGGTAGTAGTCTACGATGACCGTCACTACTACGGCCGCAAGCACCGCGACAAGCACGTATGTTGTTGAGCTGAGTACAAAGATAGGCTCCATGTCGCGGTGAGCTGTACGACTGTACCGGACTCAAGCTTGACGTTGCTTTTATACTCTGTCCGCATAATAGCGCGCCATCGGAATAACAAATCTACCCCCCTTTTCCCTTTCAGAATGGTTTGAATGTGCTAAGGAGATTCGGCCTGTTTAGCCTGTTGACTAAAGTGTTTTGTTTTGTGAATTCCCTATCTCTGTTATTTCCAGATGTGTTGTCTTGAGTGTTTTAATGATATCATGGTTTTTGTTTTTTTCTGTTTGTGTAAAATAGTTTAGTGTCATTGTTTCAAATGTCATGTGTGCATACAGTTCTTATAATAACCCAAGGTCCCAACAGTACCTATATGATCTTTAAATGGAATTTATTCAGGTTAACTATATGTTTGACTCAACGTTTTAACACTTTTTTAACCCTTTTTGTTGTCATTGTGTTATTTTAATGTCAAGTAAGTTGAAAATATGAAAGATCTTACATTTTTTGTGGTACAGTTGAGTTTGATGAGTATAAATAAATGCCTTATAATCTATTGTTTAATAACTACTTTTCAACATTATTTATAAAACTGAACACTTTTTAAAATCATCAACTTGTAGATAACAGTACTACCAGCGTTTCAACCCTATTGTCTACAATGTGCTTTAAAATACCCTATACTTCTACTTTTCTCTAGATTCTCAAAACTTGAAACTATATTTTCGACTTTACAACCCGTCTTTGGATTGGTTTGGACTGCAGTTATAAGAACTTTTGCACAAGGCAAGTTAGTGGGCTTAGAGTTATCCTTTTTTTACCTCACTGTAATACTACAGTACGCTTTATAATTTTATGTATTAAAAAGTTATTTATCAGTGAATTAATAACTCAAGATTTCTGAGCTATCTTGCTAGGATGAGGTAATTATTTTAATACCTAAGAGCTGCATTACTACACAGTCGGAGTATACCATTAGAACCATTACCAAGTGCCAGCTTATGTGGAAATACCCGGGATATTGTGTTTAAAGATTACGTACTGGGAAAGGGGGATCCTTTAACAAACTTGTTAGGGAGGCCCGCTGGTTCTTATCGCCGCCACTGGGAGCAATGGTGGTTGAATGTTTATAAATAAAATGTCAATACTAAATTATCTGGCATCTGGCTAGTTCTAAATTAAAGAAACAGCTGGTTTAGGTAAGTAACAATTTTTTGCATCTCATTTCATTCTTCACTCACTCACCCTGCATTCATAGTGAACTTAAAACAAGTACTGTACCCTTACACAAAAGGGTACACAACAGTATTTTACCAAGATACACATGATTATGTCTCATTAGTTTTCTCTTAGTGGAGCTGGACAGTTGAGCTAGAAGCATAATTACAGTTTCCGATTGTTTTGCCCAATGCAATTATTGTCCAACTGATTATAGAAAGGAATATCCCTACCAAGTTTGAAATAAATCGAACAACAAATGACAGCTAGAGTGCAAACACAAACACATCGGCTATATACAGTTTGGTAGAAAGTTCCGGAACGGTTTAATCTATTTTTTTCTAATATAGATAAAGAAATGAGACTTGGTATATCAATAATAGCCATAGGTGTCTACTCTTATAAGCTAGTATCACTTTATCCCGTAAGGGGACGGCCCACGAAGAGTTAGGCAAAGTTCTGAAATAGTATAATATGTCAGGTTTGGTATCACAATAAAAGTCTTAGTAGAACACTGAGTCAAAAATTACAGCTGTTCAAAGATTCATTGAATTTGCATTGCTATTATACGCTACTCTCCTCAAAGGGGCAACCACGAGAATTCTGAAAAAAATCATTAACGTAAGCATAGGTCGATATCCACATAAAAATAAAGGTCTTAAATAATAAATTACAATACCGACAATTTGAGCTCAATAATAGAACAACTGAGTAAAAAATGGCAGCCGCTCAAAGATTCAAAATTGCAGATTCAAGAAATATTTTAAGCCATTTTTTACTCAATTGTTCGTTTGCGTTCGGGTTTGCAGCAATTTATTCTACTAAGACCTTTAATTAGATAACAAACTCGACCTATGCTGCTGTTTAAGAATTTTGTCTGACTCCTCGTGGACAGTAATAGTAGCTTGAAAGAGCAGACATTTATGGCTGTTATTGATATACTAAGTATCATTACTATAGTTTGGCCGCTTAGAAAACGACCTGCGTGCTAATGCTAAACCAATGCTAGAGGAGGTTGTTTTCTAAGCGGCCGACCTATATATCCTATATTGGTAAAAATATATTGAACCGTCCTTTTCTACCACACTGTTTATAAGTTTCACCTCTAGCAGTTGCATTATATATGTGTGTGTGTATGTCTACATATCATAACACGTTGGGAACTTCTTTGTTGGTCCCGGGCTTGCTTCTAGGGACCGAGGCCAGTCCGGATAACGGGCTTTCCGGCTAAACCGACGTCCCCAAAAACTTGTTAAAATGGACCGTTTACTGTGATATTCGACTTAAATTTAGGAGAGCATTGTATTTAGACACGTGATCACTCTCAATTCTTTCCCACAAGAACAGTCGTTTCAGTACTGCCCACTTCCTGTCGATCTAATCTGGTTAAACCAATGTGCTGATAAAAGTTGTCCGGTTAAAGAGATGTCATTTCCGCCGAGTGTAGTTTGGTTAAACCGATGTCCGGTTAAAAGGTGTCCGGATAAGAGGGAGTCTTACTGTAGATCACTTTTCCATATTATATTCACTAAGAAATATTTTAAGATGTTTAGCCTGCCAAACGGTGCCCTGACATTTTTTGTGCTACCATTTTTGGTATGCACTTCCTGATACTCATATATACAAGCTGCAAAAATAAAATTTACTACACCACGGTTTGCAATTTGACCACCCTATTTAAGCATCTACTGACTGGTCTAAAAATGGTCTGGAAAGAAATTGTGAAATTTTATGTTTTTAGAGTAAAAAATCGGAAAAACTCATTTTTACCCCATAAAACCCCTCATAAACCCTTGTTCTCATAGTCTGATCATGCTGCTTTGCAAACTCATGGGAATAAACGTAGGTTTAAACTTTCAACGTTTGTACCAAATTTCATCAAAATCGGATCATTTTTGCTGGAATTATCACGCTAACGGACATATATAATTGAATTTGAACGGAGGGTGTTTTTGGCCTCTAGGGACCTCAAAACTAAAAAGTAAATCGGTCCCGAAAAGTTAAGTGGATCTAGAGCTTACCACAAGACATACGGTAATAGCTTATTTCCTGCAAAATTCGCTAATATGGGAAATACGCTAAAAAAGAAAAAAGTCCATCCTCGCATAAGAAACGCCAATATTTACACTATAAAGTAACTGAATATTAAACTGGCACTGACAGTAATTTCAACTGAAGATTGTTTGAGCCATACATTTGGTGTGTACTATGTATCAGAGCATATTTTAAGGGATTTCCACTGGGCAACAGTGGCGCCGGACTAAAAACCCCTCATGAAAATTTTTGCATAAGTTAAAGTGAAAATCACACATTTCTACGTATCTTTTAATGAATTTTTCAATTAAATTTGCTTGCAAATAGTCCATATAATCTCACTTAATTACGTATTGTAGAACATTGTAACAGGCCAAGGCTCCCTTCACAACCTCTTGCCCAAAATCATAGCTCAATACTTTAAAATATTTACAAAATGTATTTTTTTTTATTCCGATATATTTAAAATGTGAATCATAAAAAAAATATGCCGGCACCACCCATAGTCACTGGGCGACAAAATCTCAGCACTGGGCGACACTTATGTCGCCCAGTTAACATGAAATTTTATGCCCTGCTATGTATGCAGAGTTTTTGTATCAGGATTCTTTCGCATTGATAAGCAATAAAACTAGCCAGATTCAAATCATATCTTCTGAAAGTTAAGAACATAAAAACAAATGATTCAAAACATCTTCATTCATACCTGTGTGGTAGTCACTTAACTAGCACCAACAACAAAATATCTCAGATATCTCACAAGTACTTACTTATACTTACTTACTTCTTACTTCCGGTGTCCTCGCCACAATCGTTTGATCGGGGAGTCGTCAACTTTCTTCCTTTTTCAGGGTTTTCTATGTTCAGGTTTCGTGTGTTTATGTTTTATGTTTTGTGTATGTGTGCTCCTCTATGTATTCTTTTATTGAGTCACGGCCTTGCAGTTAGGTACAATTTTAAATTTTTTTCAAAATTGGGTGTGTTTGATTTTAGGTGTTGGGCTAATTGATTTTAGAACATTGATCCAGAGTATGTGGGTGTGTTGTTTGTTTTTTGAAGTCTGTGTTGAGGTATGTCTATGTTTATTTTACTTCTGGTGTTATGGTTGTGCTGCGATTGTCTTAGGTTGGGATTGGATCGGATGGTAAAGATTATGGTTTCGCAGATATAGAGTGAGATTAATGTCATTATATTGAGTTGGATGAAAAGGGGCTTGTGATTGGTCGAATCTTCCGATCTTGTTATTGTTCTGATTGTTATTTTTCCATATTTTTTTGACCTGTAGATCCCCAAGCTGCAATTCCTTAGCGTAGATGTGAAGTGAATAATGAATGGTATGCTATGAGGGTTGTTTCTTGGTTGGTTATACTTCTTATTCTTCTTATAACAAATACTGCTGATGCCAGTTTTTTGCAGAGTTGATCAGTATGTTTGTTCCAGTTTAATTTGTTGTCTATTGTAATGCTAAGGAATTTAGTGGTTTCTGCAGTTGGGATCTCTAGCTGTGACCAGTCGTCAGTTTTTGTGTTGTTGGTTGTGAAGTTGATATGGACGGTTTTTGATTTATTTATGCTCAGTTTTAGGTTGCTGCAGTAAGATGTTATATGGTTATAAAAATATACAATAAAATAAAAATAAAAATAAATAATAATATATAATATAAATATATAAAATATAAATAAAAATAAATAAAAATATACAACAATGGAAACAAAACAAAAATTTTGAGAGTATGTGGTTGAACACATTTCTACAAAATAAAATGCCTGTTTTTATATTT